GGAGGGCAACTTCACAGTAGCAGTTGAGGAGCTCTCGGGTGACACTTCCGACGATGTTGAGGTATGCACGGAGTTCAAGGTGTGGTCTTCTCTGCTTGCCCACTGGTCTCCCGTCCTTGCGAAGATGGTAGGGTCGGAGAACTATGCCGAGACGCAGAAAGCGGAGGTGATCATCCGAGACTTCTCGGCCGATGCTGTCGAGATGTTCCTTCGCTTTTTATACACCGGGAGCGTCCGGGGCGCTGTTAGTGCTCTCCTGGAGGTGGCTGCTTTGGCAGACAAGTACCAAGTCCAGGCGTTGCATGCATTGTGCATGCGGCTGGTTAGGGAGGCCCTGAAACCTGAGGTGGCTTGTGAGGTCTTCGCTTCTGCATACCGTTTCCACATGGATGACCTGCGATGCGAGGCCCTTGATCTTATCTTCACAAAGCCTGCGGAAGCTCTGAAAGAGCGTCCAGCACTCCGGCCGGAGCTCTTGGAGGAGATTTTGAGCTCAGGCTTGCTGTGTATTGCAGAGGATGCCCTGAAACGGACCCTCCAAGGCTGGGGAAGCAAGGACAGTGACCGCTTGCAGCCGATCATCGAGGCCCGGATCCAGCTCGCCACGGTCCGAACGCCTAGCGTGCACACGGAAGACGTGCTCAGAACCCTGTGGGATCGGTACGTCAGTGCCGGGAAGCAGGGCGCCTTCTTGAGCTACAGAGTGGTCGTGATGCTGGGGCCGGAACAGTCGGAAATGTGCAAAGCAACTCAATCTCAAGTGAAGGCCATGGCTCGCAAAGACGAAGGCGTCACGTACCGGAGGGGCTGGGTGCAGTGGCTGCTTCCCCATTCTCGGGTTCATCTTCGGGGCTTCTCTTTCGGTAATACTGTATCCTCCACGGCATCTTTCCAAATCCATGTGAAATCCGACGAAAACAGCGCGACCTGGCACCTCGCCTACGAGTCCTACAGGAAAGAGATCGAAGAGGGCACTTTCCTGTCTTGCAAGAGACCCCCAAGCCTCGTAAAGCACTTCAAGCTCGAAGTCCTGGAGGGTGAGCTTCGTGACGCTGAATTTCAGATTCGGGGAATCTTGCAGACCTCTATCTGAATGAGCACTTTATTCATAATCTGAATCTCAGACATCAGAGCATGGTTCTGAGTTCGCGCGGCAGCAAAAAGCCCGCCACCTGCAGAAGCAAGTACTGTGTTGACACCAACGCCACAAAAAATGACATGCATAACATAGAGAAGCTTGTGATTCCTCGGCACCATGATCTCTCCAGCTGCCTCACCCTCCTACAGCCTGAAACTCAAGCATCACATCCGTGAAGCCAGAGACCTCGTAGTTCCCCCAAACCCTAAACCCTAAACCCCTAAACCCCGACCCTAAAACCTAAAGTAAACCCTAAACCCCCAAACCCCCCAAACCCTAAACCCCTAAACCTATAAACCCTAATCCCTAGACCCCTAAGCCCAAAAGCCCCAAAGCCCTAAAGCCAACAAAAAATTTAAAGCCCTAAACCCCAAACCTGAAACCCTACATCGTAAGCACGGAATCTTCCAAACCCAAAACCTTAAACCGAAAGGCCCAGCGCATCCCAACACAGACTCCCCCGGGTTGATCAGAGGTTTAGGGTTAAGAGTTTTAGGGTTAAGGGCTAACCCCCCCGAATTAGCCGATATAATGGCCCAGAACCCATAAAAAACAAAAAAACTATTATTCTACATACTTTCAGGGTCCAGGTAGGGTTTTTTAGTGTTCAGGCCTTTCCGGGCGAATGCACCAAGTATGCAAATGCTACTTGCTTGCAGGTTTAAAGGCTCGAGAACAGCGGCCACTGCAGGCGTGTTGAAGCGGCCGGGTAGAAAGGCTGAAACTGCTCCTTGGTTCTATCTTCTGTCCTTAAGGGCGAAATGAACCCTAAAAGGGTTTAAGGTCCATATATACATATATATATATAGAGAGACATTCATAGTATAAGGGTATAGGGCCCCTACTCTCAAGGGTCATTTCGTCTTGAAGAGTCAGGGCATGTCAGCCCATGAAGGTTTCCGGTAGTGAAAGTAGCACCAAGAGAAGGGAGCACATTGAGGCGTCAAGGTTCTTAGGTTCAAGGCTCGCGGCTTAAGGGCTTACAGTACCTTAGGAAGGAAATGACCTTAAAAGTAGGGACCCTATAGCCTTATACTATGAATTCCTGTATGGTATATGAACCTTAAACCCTTTAGGGTTCATTTCCCCCTTAAGGTAACGTGCACTCATTTGGCCAAGCGTTGTCATCTAGAGAGGCTCCCCCCATGAATTGACGGATCGAGTGTTTAAAGGTTCATGGGTGCTTCGGCGTTGTGACTAGCTCTGACAACAAGCTGAGCGGACTAGTAGGGCACCCTTATATAAATGGTTCAACAAAAGGGACCCAACTGTAGAGAACTACCCACATGTCCGCATCAGGGGCCACGAGATGTTGGTGGAGGTCCAGGCCCGGATCCCTCAACGCACTTCGCGATGCAGCCCTGCACTGCCTAGGGAGCCCAAAAGGGGTTTAGGGCAGAAGGTTTAGGGTTCAAGGTTTTGGATTTAGGGTTGAAGGTTTAGGGTTTAGGGGATGTTTCTGTCTTCTAAATGGTTCCATCGTGCCTGATTTAAGAGTTCGCTTGTGCGAATTTAGAATTTAAGAGGCCTCCCAATTACAGTTCGTTGTTCCATCGATTTTTTGGAGACGTCGATTGTTCTTAGTCTCTTGGCCCGTATGGAGGGCTTATGCTGAGTCATAGGATGAAATTTCTAGGGTTGTACATACCCAGAGGCTCCATGTAGTAGTTCCTTTTTTGGGATTACCTTATGGGATCCTGAATACATACACCACAAAAAGGAACTACTATGGAGCCTATGGGCAAGGCAGCCATACTTCTTACTTGGGCTTTTTGGGTGAAGCATTCAGGTTTCGGGTTCAGAGCTTGCTAATGCCTTGCCTCACTGGAACCCTATAAACCCTAGATTTGTGGATTTGTGGTTTTTGGTTCAGGTTTCAAAGCCATGCGGAGCTGGAGAAAGCCTGCATATGGGTAGTTCTCTAAATTTGGTCCCAGTTTCGGTCCCCAAAACAGTACGACACCCTTATAAAAAGTGGTTTTCTGTATAAACAAGGGACCCTGAAAGGGAGCCTGATGTAGAGAACTACCCATATGAAGAGAAGTGCAAGGAGGCTTCGAATCTTCGAGAAAGAAGTCAGCATCGGCATTTGCAGCTGGCTTTGGCAGCAGAGTGCTTCTTTGTCAAACTTTCACAGCTCGTTGCTTCAATCTTATGGAGCCTGACGCCAGAATGCCCAACCATATGCCGTGCACTCTGCAAACACGAAAACCTGCTTTAGAATCTTAAAAACCCTAAACCCTAAACCCTAAACCCTAAACCCCAAACCCTAAACCCTAAACCCTAAACCCTAAACCCTAAACCCTAAACCGTAGGTTCGGTGAGCATCATTTTCCAGTCTTTTCAGTTTAAGTTCGAAGCCTACACCCAGCTACCAATCCTGGACCCGCATGCCGCATGGTTTCCAATCTATACCTTCTTGGGCTCACCAACTCTATGGTTAGGATCCTACAACCCTGAGGCTCTAAGGACTCATATTTTAAGGCTCTTGGGCCAAAAGACCATACTAAATAAGGACTCTTGGGCTATGTTGAGCCTTATGGGGCAACAATCCTCCTAACCCCCTAAACCCTAAATCCTAAACCCTAAACCGTAAACCCTAAACCCCAAACCCTAAACCCTAAACCCTAAGGAAAACGAAGGCAGCCATTTTGACAAAACCCTTGGTGCCTCAATCGAGCCACTAAACTGACCCGGGTTTAGGGTTTAGGGGTTTAGGGTTTAGGGACCCTAAATTTCGAAATTCACTCGTAAAGAAGCCCCTAAAGTTTCAAGTTCACGATGGAAGGAGCCCTCAAAGCTTTTTTAAATTAAAGTAACCTTTCAAAGGGAACCCGAAACCCTCAACGCCTAAACCCTCAACGCCTAAACCCTCAACCCCCAACCCCTTATAACCTTGACTTGGGTATCCAAAAAACCTAGCGATGTAAGGGTTAGACCCTAAAATTAAGGGGTCATAACCTACTATTTCGTAGGGTTTGGGGATTCAGGGCGGGGAACCCGAAAGGCCCCCTTTTGCTTTTTAAGCCAGGAAGCCAAAAGCGCTCCAGGTGGGAAGAAGCCCTCCAGGCCGCCCCCCACATTCGGCTCCGCAGAGGCGTGCCGGGGACTACAGGAAGGGTTCAGGGTCTACGGTGTTTAGGAAAGTTTAGGGCTTGGGGCTTAGAGCGTTGTAGTATGGTGTACCCCCTATCCTGAATATTGGTATGAATAAACCAAGTTTGTTTAGCCTCAAGATTTTTGGGGACGGGCATTTAGTGGCTTAGCGCTGTAAGTTCCCGGGTTGAAGTTCACATGCAGTTTCAGATGAGAAAACATGAAACTTGAGGTATATACTGATTATGTATGGGCATAGAAGCAAGGAAGCATAAACAAGGGCTTATCTGACTTATATGATTCGAGAAGTATATTATAAAGAGCCATTCATAGGGGCTTATATGGTTCCCACGCCGCATGCAGCTACAGTTCTGGCCGGAGCACTCAACCCTGCCACAGTCAGCCAGAGTTCGTAGCAATGCTTGTCGGCGAAGATTTGTCTGCTGCATCAGCAGCATGGAAGGCCTGCTTTGGCAAGGACGGGAACTTCACAGTCATCGTGGAAGAGCCCTCTAATGACGCTTCCGACGATGCGAGCATGAAAGTTGAAGCAGAGGCAAAACGTACAGAATTCCAGGTCTGGTCTTCCATGCTTTCCCATCATTCGCCGGTGTTTGAAAAGATGATCGGCTCCGCATACGCAGAATCGCAACAGGCAGAGGTCGTCATCCAAGACTTCTCAGCCGGGTCTGTTGAGATCTTCCTGCATTACTTGTACACCGGGAGCGTCCGGGGCTCCGCAAGTGCTTTGCTGGAGGTGGCTGCAATGGCAGACAAGTATCAGGTCGAAGTGTTGCATGCATTGTGCATGCGGCTGGTTCGGGAGGCCTTCAAACCCGTCATTGCCTGCGAAGTCTTTGCTGCCGCAGACCGCTTTTGCATGGAGGACCTGCGATCAGAGGCACGCGATCTCATCCTCACGCAGCCTGAAAAGGCCCTCCAAAGCCGTCCGCCTCTCCCGCCGGAGCTTTTGGAGGAGATCCTGGAATCGGGCCTGCTGTGCATGTCGGAGGATGCTTTGATGAAAACTCTCCAGAGTTGGGGAGAGAAGGAAGGCGACTGCCTGGAGCCGATCATCAAAGCTCGGATCCCAAGTACACCCCTCCGAGTGGTCAGTTTGCGTGGTGAGCACACGACCAATGTGCTGAAGACACTTTGGAAGCGCTACTGCGATGCTGGACAGAAGGGCACCTTCGTGGGCTACTGGGTGAATGTCTTGCTGGGGCCTGGGCAGTCGCAGACCTGCACTCAGGACGAGCTCCTGTCCATGGCTCGGATGGACAAACTCTTCACCTTGGGGCAGGGATGGGTGCAGTGGTATCTTCCCTATTGCTGGTTTCATCTTCAGGGCTTCTCCTTCCCGAACTTCTTCGGCAATGACATTTCGGCCTCAACATCCTTCCGGATCCACGTGAAGTCCGGCGAAGACGGCGCGACCTGGCACCTCGCTTACGAGTCGCACAAGAAGGAGATCGAAAATGGCACCTTCCTGCCTTGCAAGAGACCTCGGGGCCTGGTGCAGTACTTCAAGCTGGAAGTCCTGGAGGGTGAGCTTCCGCAAACCTATTTCAACATCCAGGGCATTTTGCAGACTTCCGTCTGATGATGCGCTTCAATTGGCAGCTTGAGCAGCAGCGTCGCAGTTGCGCATGCGCTTGTAAATGCCTGACTTCACAGGTCGGCCTTGCAGGGAGCAGGTGCAGTCAAGTCAAGTTTTGTTGGCCGTTTCCTGAGCCGGAGGTGCAGCAAGAAGCCTGCCACCTATACTGCGAGCTTGGTTTAGACAGCAGTCTTTGAGACTGAAGACACCCACTGGGTTAAAGAGTAGCCGAATACCTGACAGACTCTGGAAAAGTCCAGGCCGCTTTTAACAAGCTTATAAAAACGGAAAGCGCAACAGGCGAAACATTACCAGCAAAACAACAAATCGGTAGTTTTCTAAGTTAGGGTCTCTTTTGGGGGTCCTTTTTTAAAAGGATGCCGTACTATATTGGGGACCCAAAAAGGACCATAATTTCGAGAACGACCCACACACTGCAAACCTCTACAAGCCTGAATCGACCTGAAGCTCCCAAGACGAAGCCCGCAGTTGCTCTTATCTTAAGTTGCCATAAGGTATTTAGGTACATTGAGACCGAAGTATCTACTATCTGGGTACATGGACCCGTATGCCCGAAACGCTATAGAACCCTTATAGTATGTAGGCCCTTATAGTACTTAGTAGACCCTTGTAGTAGACCCTTAAACTGTAACATGTAGGTGGCTTGGCCTGTAGATCCATGTTGATATAAAGACTTCGATCTAAACAATGACTGAAGCCCCGCTTAGGCCTTGTTTCCAGAAAACCGGAGCCTTTGGTGCAATACCTCGGCCGCCAGGACGGGCGCCTGTTCCGCGGGTCTGGACCACGGGCACTCCGGAGAGTTTTGAGAGGTTTCTGGTTACTGGGACTCTTGATATGATTCGATAATGCTCTTAGGAGTTGTCTTCGAAGCTTATCCTTGTAGCTAAGACTCCATTGGAGATGAAGCCCACTAGTCTCTTTTTGGCTCTTAGGCCGGAAGGATTATTCAATAAGATTTAGTTTCCACAAGCGTTCAGCAGATGATATCCATAATATCCAAGTTGTGGGTCGGTGTACCCATGTGGTATAAAGGTTTGCTACATAGGTACGTGGAACCCTTCGGGTGATGGACAGAAGCGCACGGGATACATCATAATTCCCAGATTGCATACCCTAAGGCTCAAAATAGCCCAAAAGCCTTATATAATATGGTCTTTGGGCCCAAAAGGTCGTTCAGGGCTCAGGGCAGAGTTCACAGCCTGAACCTTCTCCCCAATCGCTTCACCCCCAAAACCGCAACAGCCCTCAACCCCTATACCCAAGGCCCCTTAAACCTGTACCCTGAGCTCTAAAATCCTGAACCCTAGACGGGGTCCTTGATGCCCAGGCCTAAGCTTCAGCCTCCATTGCGTACGTAAACAGCCTCCCCTTTATAGCTTGTACGATGGATCCTAGTATGAAAGCCCTTATCGAGAAAAGGGTGCGGAGTTGACCAGGGGTTACCATGCCACTCATCCCTAAATTCTCGTAGTATTCATGATAGAAACGGTCTGAAGTATTAATACATTTAAGGCATTTAAACAGCCCCTTGAAGAACCCTTAAACCCCTGAAAGAACAGGTGCTGTGTCATCTTAAAAAGCCCCTTGAAGAACCCTTGAAGGGATCCTGAAAGAACCGCTGAAAGGAACCCGTCGCGAGACCCTGCCCCTTCAGCGGTGCCGAAACCCCTCGACCTTCAGCACCTTAGTAGCTGCATGGCTGCACTTTAAGCTTTTTGGGATACTATAGTCCCCTATAAAACTGCAAGTGTGCATTTTCGGTGGCTTATGAACTCAGAAACTAAGTGAAACTTTTCGCATGGACAAAAACAAGCAACAACTCGCGGCAGAGTTCGTAAGAGTCTTGCTTTCTGGTTCCCGAACCCATTGTGCAGAGCCTTGAAGTTTTAGTCTGTAAGCCTTGCAGGTAGGTTTGGTCATGCGACCATTTGGAGGGTTTGGGTGGGGTTAGCTACGCAGTAAGGCCTGAACACACACCAGGGATTCTCGAAGCGCTTTGTGGCAACCTTTGTCCCAAAGGTGCTTTCTCTGCGGAGGTGCTGATGATGAAGGCCAGAGATGTCTGATCATTAGGGTTTATAGGGTTTCGGGTTGGGGGTCTGCTCAACCCGGCCCACCCCAAACCCAACATGAAACCCGCCGCTAACCTTCTTTTACGGGACATCGACCGGCCTCTTTGAGCTTCTAAGTCACTTTGCAAGCATGCGAACCACATTTCTGGGCAGGAGATGGAAGGCAGATGTCCTCAGCTGTGGTATCGATTGATCTGGGTTAGTGGCTTCTGCTTCAGCTTAGGTGTTCGATGATTAACAGCGGCTGTTGTTGTCGGTTTAATCGGTCGGCGTTTTCAGGTGTTCGACTTGTTGATTTGGTGCGGCGAATAATAAGAGGGATGATGCACAGGTCTCAGGTGGTGCTAAACCATGTGTTAAGGCTTTTGGGCCCAAAGACCATACTGTACAAGGCTCCTGGGCTATTTTGAGCCTTAGGGCTTTGCTTGTGTACGTTTGGGTGGTTTGCTTTGCCCAGGTTTGGAGCATTTCCGGTACATGGTTTGACGATACTACACATGTCCATGTCACTGGCAACGACTTGTGATGTTGAGTACGTTTCGTTGCGGAATTCCTGAGCTCGAGATTCTCTAGCTACAGTAGTCCTGCTTCATTTGGAATCATGGCTGAGACGGCAGAGGATCTGACTTCTCTCAGTGGCGTGCTGGCAGCGTGCTTCGGCACTAGCGGCGGCATTTTACGGTCATTGTAGAAGAGCGTTCGGCAGACATGCAGAGTTCAATCGAAATTGAGGCGAGTGTGAAGCGCACGGAGTTCAAGGTATGGTCTTTCTTGCTTACCCGGTGGTCTCCTGTCTTTGAGAGGATGATCGGCTCGGACAACTACGCTGAATCGCAGAAGTCGCAGGTCGTCATCCAAGACTTCTCGGCCAGTGCTGTCGAGATCTTCCTGCGCTTCATGTACTCTGGGAGCGTCGGGGGCTCCATCGCTGCTCTGGTGGAGGTGGCTGCCATAGCAGACAAGTATCAGGTTGAGGCGTTGGGTCCTTTGTGCTTGCGTCTTGTGCGGAAGGCGCTCACACCTGAGGTAGCTTGCGAGGTCTTTGCTTTAGCAGACGGGTTTCACGTCGCTCAGATGCGAGCAGAGGCACTCGATCTCGTCTTCGCCAACCCTGAAGCAGCGCTGAAAGAGCGTCCGGCACTCCGAGCAGAGCTCTTGGAGGAGATCCTGGGCTCAGGCCTGCTGTGCACATCAGAAGATGCTCTCAAGGAGATTCTCCGACGCTGGGGCACGGGCGACACGGAGCGCCTGGAATCGATGATCAAAGTCGGAACAGAGAGTGAGCAGACGAGCGATGCGCTGTACGCGTTCTGGGAGCGCTACAGAAAGGCCGGGCGGAAGGGCGTTTTTGTGGGATCTTGGGTGGCGGTGATCCTGGAGCAGGAGGAGGCCTTCTCCAGCGAAGATGTCGAAGGCATCGCCTCGAACTCTCTGCGACTCACCCTCCGAAAAGGCTGGCTGCAGTGGCATCTTCTCCATGCCTCCGTTCATCTTCAGGGGTTTTCCTTCATTTTAGGAGGGGACATCTCGGCCGCGACATCCTTCCGGATCTGGTGCTCCGAAGGCGGCGTGGCCTGGCACCTCGCCTACGAGTCGAAGAAGGAGGAGATCACAGGTGGCACTTTCCTGGCCTGCAAGAGACCGCCAGGCCTTGTGAAGCACTTGAAGCTGGAAGTCCTGGAAGGGGGGCTTGCCGACTTTTACTTCAACATCCATGGCATTCTGCAGACGTCCGTCTGAAGTGGCCTTCCTCCGCAGATCGGAGAAGGCAGAGTTCAAGGTGTGTGCCGTTTGCTTCCGTTGGGTTTTTGAATTTCATGGGATGTACACTGATAGGACGGTGTGACATGGTCCTGTCACCTTCTGTATGCCTTAAGGACGAAATGAACCCTAAAACGGTTTAATGCTCATATACCATATAGGAATTCATAGTGTAAGGGTACAGGGCCCCTACTTTTAATAATAAGGGTCATTTCGTCCATAAGGTGATACACTTGCACCATGCGGAAAAAGCCGTGCGAGGCGACCGAAGCTCTCTGGTCTTGTACCTCAGTTTCCGAAGGTCCTAGTCACTAGTCGCCCTTGTCTTAAAGCCAAATCCTTCTTCCCCTAAGCCCCCTAAGCCCCCTAAGCCCCCGAAGCCCCCTAAACCCTGAATCCCTAAACCCTAAGCCCCTAAACCCTAAAGCCTAAAATCCCTGAAGCCTTAAGACTCTCGAACCCTCAAACCCCAGGGCCCCTATTTCGGCCCCAGCACAGCATATCTGAAGCTACAGGCAAGGCCCTCCTCGTAGCCGCAAGTGCTGCGGTGTAGCAGCCTCAAAGAGTCATGTTTTGCCATACGTACCGGGTTTAGGGTTTCGGGCACTACATTGGAAATACCTCCCAAAGCCCATCCTTTTCCTTGTATTCCTTTGAGTGCTCCCCAGTTGCCCACAGGGTTTAGGAGGTTCACCAGGGAGAGTGCACAGGAGACTGTCGGAGCGGCTTGCAGCTTGCTTCTTTGTTGGCGGCTCTATCCCCGGCTCCATAGTAGATCCTGGTTGTAGTTGTGTCTATTTAGGGTCCGATAAGGTAGTCCCAAAAAAGAACTACTATGGAGCTGATGGGTAGATTCCCGAGCTCGTTTGCGGGGTTGACGTTCAAGACTTTGCAGAACTCACTTTGCTCCTGACCTGCTGTCATTGCAAGGCCCGATGCTTGGAGGACTTGAAGCCCCATTAGCCATGGGCCATGAGACCCCAAGCCCTCTATATACATATATATATATATGTATATATATATATAATATATATACACACATACATACACAACTCCTATCCATAGAGGATCGTAACTATCTTTACCCTTGCTCTTATTCTTAGTATGTTAATCTTCTTATTATGGTTATATTACCGAGGCAGGCGT